TAATAATAATGCATTAAAACATAGATATATTATCAAAAATTATCAAGTAAATGACAAAAATGCGCTGTGCATAAATATTATTAATTGACATTTCAGGACAGAAACACCGTGTTTRTTAAGATCAAATGAGATTACACCCACTGCTCTGGGCGGATTTGGTGTAATTGGCAATAATCTGCCCTGGATTGAGGGTTTATGACTTTTTCATAGTGACTGATTTATTCCAGGAAAATAAAAACACATGAAGATATGATTTTTTTTCCTCTAAATATAATTAAAACACAAGCGAAACACACGGAGAAATGCATGACTAAACGCAAATAAAGAATAAACAAATTGTAATAAAAAAAGTTTGTCAACCCCCTCCCCCTAAAAATAATCTCGTAAGAGTTGCACCTTGCGCCACGTACCCTCTTAGCCTTTTTTCCCCCCCTGTTTATTTATATTTTCATTCGACATGTTTCTTACCGAWTGGCTTTTCAGAAAGTTCACGTGCGTAATTGCAGTAATCCATCCGAACCCACCCTGTGTTTAACGCGGCGCGCGCGGAAATCGAACAGGATCTGCCTGTTCATTTAACGCGCGCTCACAATAAAAACAAAGACCACTTTTCTTTCTGTCTTTCTTTTCTTTTACGCACAAAGAAAGAAATAAAAACACCAACAACAAAAGAAGAAAGCTGCATGAAGCGCCTTTTTTCTTGATTCCTGCCGATATCTTGTAAGCGTCACATCCCTGCAACACAACAGCCGATTTGTTATTGATCATGTGTGAAAGTGAGGACTTCGTATTTTGGAAGGAAGAAGGAGGGGGGGGGGAGAGGAAAGTTGGGAGTTGATAGACGCGCATGACGTCGCCATCCAAAGGGGGGCTGCCAGGCGCACTTGAGGCTTTACTGCAACGAGTCTTGTTAAAGTGGGGGCAAAAAGAGAAATAGAGAATGAGAAGGCTTGTTAGTTAACGCGAGAGGAGAGAGAGAGAGAGAGAGAGAGAGAGAGAGAGAGAGAGAGAGAGAGAGAGAGCATGGGTTTGGGTTGGGTTGTGGTTTACCAGCATAAGCTTTGCCTTTCCCTTCGGTGACTACACCCCGAGAGGAGGAGCGTGGTGCGCAGCGTAGTAGGCGTCAGGATCCTCAGTTTCCAACTTAGCATCTTGGCAGGACCTTTTCCCAAGCAAAGCCCCCCTGTCCGACGGGTTTTTAAAAAAATAAAACTTCTGCACAGGCATGAGAGCGACGGTGCAGCTCAGATAAGGGAGGAAGCAGAGAGAGACCAAACCTCCGACGGAGAGTGGCTGGCAGCGAGCAAACTAATCCACCCCAAAAACTTGAGCTTTTTTTTTTTTTTTTTTTTTTGTCCTCTCGTTTAAACTCGTGACTTTTTTCCACCATTTTTTAAAAGAAATTCACAGGAAGGGACAGACAGCGGAGTCTGCAGACGCACAGCTCTCTGCGCTCCGACAGCAGCGCATGAGAAAATAAAGACAAAAAGAGAGAGAGAGAGAGGAGGGGGGTGAAAGTGCGCAAGTTAAGTGGCTCACACTCTCCGGGGCTCCAGCATGGCGTATCCTCAGGGCTACTTGTACCAGCCGTCCGCCTCTTTGGCCCTGTACTCGTGCCCCGCGTACAGCACGAGCGTCATATCGGGACCCAGGACGGAGGAACTCGGGAGATCCTCTTCGGGATCYGCTTTTGCGCCCTACGCCGGATCTACCGCGTTCACCAGCGCCTCGCCGGGCTACAACTCCCACCTACCGTACAGCGCGGACGCGGCGGCAGCTGCCACCTTCACCTCATACGTGGTGAGTAGATTCAAGTTGATTCATGAACATAAAGAGGAGGGAAAAAAAAGATGGTAAATAAAGTCGTTACTAAACTTCTGCGTTTTTGCTTGTTTGGTGAGGAGGTCTTTGGAAATGTGCGTCACAAGGAAAAAAAAAACACGGATGGATAAGATTACAGAGACATTTTCACAACCAAAAAATAGTAATAATAAAAGAAAACATAATTTAAAAAATCGTCTGTTAATATAGGTCCAATAA